AACAGGACAATCAATGACGCAGATGAAAAGAAAGATGCGCGCTGGCATTTACAAAATCAACTTGTTCACAGGTAGCACACTTTACACAATCACTTTGGGATTCAACAAAGGCACGCTAATTCGAGACCAAGATGCTGATGGGAAAATGATTCTGTACAAAGCATGTGGTTTGGCAGGTGCAGGATGCCATTTTGTAAACTTGTTTTTTCATAGAAATGTGTTCGGGCCTGCCCTGGGTATAGAAAGCTAGCGAAGCTAGCTGGAGTTACTCTTGCGATAGCAAGGTTTCTTTCAACCGGGTGCAAATCCTAACCCCTGATTTTTCAGGTCGAAGACCCCCCCCTCCCCCCCCTCCCTCCTCCCCTCTCCCCACCCCCCCTTTCCCCTCTCCACCTCCCCTCCTCCTCCTCCTTGTCTTCCCTCGCGTATCTTGCGGCCGCACTCGCTCACTCTCACTGTCTCACTCTCTCACTGTCTCACTGCCTCACTGTCTCTCTCATCTCTCTCATCTCTCTCATCTCTTTCTCATCTCTCTCATCTCTCTCTCCTCTCTCTCTCTGCAGGAGGATCCGGGCAAAGAGCCACATATAAAGGACTCTTCACCCCTGCCTCCAGAAAGAGCGCCGTGTTTTTTCCTACCTCGCTGCCCTCCACTTTCCCATTCTGGAGCGCTAGCTTTCGCCCCCCCCCTGGCCTCAAGTAAACTTGTTTTTTCATAGAAATGTGTTCGGGCCTGCCCTGGGTATAGATTTTGTAAGAAGTGTTTATGCGTTTGTCGACATTGAGGGTATTGATTCTGTAGTTTTTGTTGGTTAGAGGGTTTCGTAATCAGTTTCAAGCCTGGGACATCGATATTGTAAACAGTGGTTTTCACAACCAACACCCCCAGCCACGACCCTGTATCCCAAAGGGAATGTAGACGACTGCGTAGAGTAGGATGTGCTGCTTCTCGTAGACGGCACGTAGGGAGGTGGAGGGGGATGGCAAACTGTTTATGCTGGTGGAGGATAGTGGCGAGCCATCTTTGGGTGTCGGCTTGGAAGTTGGTGTGTGCTAGGAACGGTATGGTCAAAGGGAGATTGCTCTTGGGTGGTGTGAGGTTGCGAGAGCTCAAGGCTTGGTTGATAAGGTGAGTGGCCCGGCTGCGTCCTGGTGGCCATACGACGGATGGCATGGACTTCAAGGTCACTGTATTTGCCTGAGCGGAGTTGGCGTGCAGCTTCAAAAGATGCGTGGGTGTGTTTTGTGAGGTCGCGAAGCACAGTGAGTGCATGTAGCTTGTGTGAAGTGTATAGGATGGGTTGGTTGGTAGAGTGCAAGCGGCGGCGAAATCTTCGAAAAGTCTGAAGTGGTTGGCAACACAAGGAAAAAAGTGTGCTCGGTGTCTGCTGAACTGCCAGCCTTCAGCCTTGAGTTTGAGGTGCTGTGAGATGTAAGGCCAGTTAAGTGTGGGTTGCCATTGGGAGATGTAGAGGTGTTCATGGATCCAGGCCTGGTCATAGTCCGGGTATGTGGCAATGTGAATGGTGGAAAAGTCGGTAATGGTGTTGGTGGTGTGCCAGTAGTGAAGGGACAGTTCTGCGGAAATGGGTGTGTTCTTGGCCAATTGTTTGAGTTTGGCCCGCCGGTCGTGTTCTCTGCCCGGGATGCCGATGGCGGTGGAACCCACGTAGCAATGGCCGTGCTGGTGGTAGCATCGTTGAGTGTCGCGGGAGTTGAAATAAAGTTTTACGTAGACCGAATTGGGGGAACGGAATTGGGAAAAGGTGTAATGGTCTGGGTGAATCCCGAGTTGGTTGAGGCGGGAACGCCATTGTTTGGAACGAAAAGTGGAGGAGGGGAAGTAGAATAAAGCGGGCAGGTGGAGCAATCCCACGGCATAGATGGCTTCAGCGCGATCAATGTAGCTGGCGTGGTGTTGGATGTGGGCTAAGGCTTTGTGTAGTGTGCGTATATGGTGAAGTATGGTGTGAGTGGGTCCTCGGCTGCTGAGCAATGCGAGTCAACAAGCCATGGCGGCAGGCTGCGAAGGTTCACTTTGGTGACCTTGAGGAGCGGGATGCCATAGCGGACTGCAGCTTCTTGGAGTTGGGCTTCGGTGGCGCCGGATGACTGGAGGACTTTGAGGATCTCATTGGCGGAGCCCTGGATGGCCTCATCGAATTGCTTAATCCAGGTGTTGATGTATTGGGCGTGCCGTTCCATTTTAAAAGGGACGTCATCTTTCAACGATGGGTGATCGGGTTGAGGCACTTGGGCTAGGGTCAGTTGTTCGGAATCAGCCGGGGGCGTGGGTGCTGGCGTGGCCCGTGCTGCGGCCAGGCTGGGGGAGCCTCTCGTGGGTAGATGTGTCCCGGGCCGTCGAGGAGGTGGGCGCTGTGGTGAGAGATGTAAGCCATGTGCCTGTAGTTTCTCTTTGGCTCGCTGGAGTTCGGCCTCTCTTGTATGGAGCTGGCGGATGGCGCTGCCCTCGAGGGGGGCTGCGGCATGGTGCCGGATGGTGGTAAGGATGACGTCCATCAGCGGTTGCATGAAGGCTCTGACATCGGTCGTCTTGGAGGGAGAGGTGTTTCCGGCAGTAGGGTGCAGTGCTTCGGCTGTAGCATCCAAATCAATGTGCCGTTCACGGATGTGCTGAATCAAGTGAGTCAAGAAAGACAGACTCAGCAACAGACCGAGTGGGAACGTGTATTTGCCATTGGACAAAGAGCGAGCGGTGTAGTCAGGGGAAGACCTGGAAGGTGGGGAGTCCTGTGCCGAGGGTTGAATGCGCTTGTAGAGCTTTTGTCCTCCCGACTCGTTGGCGTCCCAGTGATCAGCGGTCTCCTTCCAAGCTTCGGGGATGGGGGGCTCAGGGATGGGATGGCCTCGTGCGGTGATGGTGATGAGCGCTGAGCCTGGCGCGGTGGAGTCACCCATGTCTGGTCCGGGTGACGTGGGGGTGTATGCGGGGGGAGGTGGGGGTGGGGGACATTCCTGTGTAGTGGTAGGATAGGGTTGGGAAGCAGCGGATGTTCGCAAGGCCTGGGAAATGGGTCCGTATGTTGTAGCCGAAGGTGTATAGGCGGCAGGGGATGATTGGGGCACTTGCTGTTGGGCAAGCTGCTGTTGTTGCAGCATTTGTTGGTACCAATAGTAGTACGGATCCATAGTGTCAGGAACCAAAAAGCAAAAAGTGGTGCGAGAAAGCAAAAAGTGTGTGGGAAAGATGCTGAGCCAAAATGCCGAAAGGAAATTTGGTGACAGGGGAAAGGTGAAAGGTCCAGGCCGGATGCAAGTATGCAGTCGACGACTAAAATAACAAGATTACGACAATGTGGAAGAAGAATGCCAGGCCAGTTGAAAACACGACATGCATCAAGGCCTGAAACATGCTGCATGATGGTAGAAGCAAAACTTTTTTCTCCGGAAGATGGTCACTCTCGCCAGTCATTGGGCGTTGCGTGCGTCCGGCCAATGTGGGATAATCTGGGGAGTCCACTCAGGTGCTGGCAACGGCGTGGTCATCGGCGTCGATGTCAAGGATGTAGAGGGGATAGCCGGCACAGATGGAGTAGATCCAGGCCAAGGGTGCGCCCTTGAGTCGGCGGTTTTTTTCAGGTGTCCTCCATGGGTCGTCGTCCGGGTCATAGTTTGGCACGATGTGGATACCGCGAGCCGTCCAAGTCTGTTGGATCTGTTGGTGACCTGGCTAGCCATCTCAGAGCGGTTGACTGCCATGTGCGTGGTGTGTTGGTATTGTGAGTGGGCGATGAGGGTTTGAGCAGGGTGTTGGTGCCAGTGTGATGGGGCGCCAATACCTGGTCGTCAGTTGGGGGCTGTCTGGTCGGACGGGACAGTGTCAATGAAGTTGTCGGCGGCAGCGATGGGGGTGTCGGAGCGGGGGATGCGGGGAGGCCACTGTGCAGAATGGCTTGAGCTAACGGGGGAGCCGATTGGTGAGTAGAGCTCATCGGATTGGGTGCCTCACAGTCCTAGAGTAGAGGAGGGAAGGAAAAGAAAAGGGCACGTCGACGTTTTAGAGACGTGCGTTCAAATCACATCAGCGTGACTTTTTTGCCGTGGAGCCACAGAGGAAAATATATGCGTTGTTTTTACAATTCCGGGTTCAAACCTCACCCCAAGTGATTTTACGTTACATATTCTGTACCACAGGGAGCAGCATCGAATTCCATTTGATATCCACGTGCGTTGCGTGTATGCGTACGGCTACGTGGGGTCGTACTCGGATACTCGGTTGATGATCAAAAGCGCATTTATATATGGACCATGTTTGTCACTACTACTACTACTACTACTATTTCTGCTACTACTACGACGACGACGACTACTACTACTCCTAGTGCTGCTGCTGCTGCTGCTGCTCCTGCTACTGCTACTGCCACTGCTACTGCTGCTACTACTGCTACTACTACTGCTACTGCTACTGCTACGCTACTGCACTGCTGCTGCTCCTGCAACTGCAACTGCAACTGCTACTGCTGCTACTACTACTACTACTGCTACCAGCCCTATTGCTTTTGCTATTGCTAATGCTACCGCTGCTACTACCACCACCACGACAACGACAATTGCTTTGCTATTGCTATTGCTAGTAGTAGTAGTAGTAGTAGTAGTAGTAGTAGTAGTGATAATAACAATATATATTCATCATAGTAATCATAGTTGTAATAACCATAGAAAACAATAACAGCAGCAAGGGTAAGTTTGTGCAGCAGCGGCAGTAGTAGTCGTTGTCGTCGTGGTGGCGGCGGTGCGGTGTTCGTAGTCGTTGTGGTTGTCGTTGTCGTCCTAGTACTACTAGTAGCAGTAGCAGTAGCAGCAGCAGAACGAGTAGCAGTAGCAGTAGCAGTAGGAGTAGGAGGAGTAGTAGTAGTAGTAGTAGTAACAGTTCAACCTGTCCAATATGCGGGGCAATCGCTCCGATTAAAGAAAGGAGCGGGGCAAAACGCTCTGAATGACATTTTTTGCGTCCACCGCTGCCCCCGATCTGGCGCGAGGAGTCACTTGGAGCGATGCGCCTTTCGGCCGGTGGCCTGCGTCCACGCCAAGCGTGGCTGCCCCGAGGTGGGGCGAATGGGCATGTCCTGGGATGATGCAACCTGCAGGTTGCAGTGGCCAAATGTTTAAGGTCTGGAATGTACAGGTGTGTCAAGCTGGAGGGGTGGAGCTGCCGACAATAGGTGCACATGGTGATTTGACGTGATTTGTTGAAGCAACCCTAGCCATCCTAGCCGGACAGCGCTGTTCCAGAAGAGAGCTCGATAATTTGTTCGTGTGATACTTTTGACACTGGAAGACGGACAGTTTAAGCAATGGCCACATATGACCGACATCCATCGGAACGACACTTGGTCTCCCAAGTGCGGGGGCGTCCACCTTGGGACCGTTCCGTTCTCCCACCGGCGCAGGGGATATAGGCGGTTGATGGCGATTGACCAATTTGAATGTCCGGTTTTTACAAACTCTTCATACAGTTCTTTTCAACGTAAACCAACTACATGACTGGCCTGATGGCCGCCAGGAAGTGAATGCACAAGACCGCATCCGGCATGCGTCCCGCTGCAGCTACCGACTGGTGCCATGCGTGCACGAGGCGATGAACATCGGTCCGAGTGGGAGTGCCACGGGGTCGATCCGCACATGGTGCATGTCGAGAAGGGTGGGGGGAAGGGGCATCGTTTGCCCGAGCCTTGGGATCCTTGGGACCATGTAAACAATGGTTGACATGGGTCTTGTAATTAACAATCCTGAATTCAACACGGGTTGTTCGGGATTCAGGCTAAATCAATGACGATTCGAATCCAGGGGTTTGATGGGTAATTGCTAATGACTCAGGGTGAGTTTGTCAGGGCGATACACTCCGACACTGACTCACTAACATGGAAGTGGATGGGCTCGCAAAAGAACACCTTTTGTGACTGACCAGGGTGTGAACTCCATTTCATGTGATGTGTGTTGGAGTGTAGATTTGATAATCAGAGCGGGGTGACCTCCGGTCACCTCACGGACGCACAGAACCTCCGTCTCTGTGACCAGTTCCCGAAAAGACCGAAGCCCACCCACCTGTGAACACGCAGGTTTCCCTGAAGAGTTCAAGAGGGACACCAGTTCTGGGTCGAGACAGAGGGCCATTCTACGCCTCCGCTTCCGAAGCCTCCGAGGCGCGGGGCTGCTCGGAGACGCTGTGCTACCGCAACCTCTCGCAGCACGTGGCGGCCTGCCACTGGGCGAAGTCCTGAAACCGAGCTGAGGAACGGAGGACAAGGATCCACGTGAGGCCTCAAGCTGTAAGGTACAACATTTCACATCAAACAATGAGAAGAAGCAAAACTGGCAGAGAGAGAGAGAGAGAGAGCGAATGGTAGTTCGTGGTTGTCAAGGTGGCTTGCCTTTGAAGATAGTGAGAGAGTGGGTGAATACGTCGCGCATGTGGTCGTTGAATGTCGTTGATGGTTGTCAACTTGCTTTCATACATCTTCAGCTTGCAGGGCAGTAGTCTCGCCCAATCGCTCGGTCAACTGCCGGCAGTGCAGAGTGAACTAGGTTCAGCTCGGTGGCCAACCGTCACTGAAGATGACAGCCACATGTGGGGTTTACAGGCAAAGAGGCGTGTGCAAAGATGACAGCCAGGTACAGCTTTGAGTGATCTTTCAGATGGACCAGAACCTAAGACCTAATTCTTTGTTCACTTTCGTTGGACCGAGGCCGCTGGCGGCCCATCGAGTGCCCCTTCGGGTGCGGTGAGAGCCCCTCGCTGCTCAGCTGAGGAATGAGGGAAAAGAGGGAAGAGACCGTTGGTAGAAAAGGGGCAAGATGGTAGTGATAACATGTGATAGCAGTGATATAGAAGTGATATGTATATATATATATATATATATTTATGAAGCCTGCAGACATCCAGAATGGCAGCCGGTGACATGAACCAATCCGACCTCAGAGCTCCCAATGAGGGGATGAGACTCATGAGATGTGCCATGCAAAGATGAGACTCCCAAATGAATGGAGATGTGAATCTCCGTGAATTAGCTTCGACGTCCCTTTAGGGACGTCCCTAGTGACCAGCAGCAACCACTACTTTGGGACTCTGCCCCAAGCATATTCTCAGGGGAGCTACCTGCCTTTCTAGTTCCCCGGAAACCACCGCTCTGGGAATCCAGGCTGGTCGATAGCAAGAAGCACGCAGCGGAATGCAAGTGTCGCCCCGCGGTCTGCCGCTACAAAGCGCATGGCTGCAGCTCGGCGGCTGAAAGAAGATGGGACATCCATGAATCCGGCTTCAGGATAGAAGGAACACCCAACTTAATTAGATGGAGGAGTGCTTTGCTTGGCCTTCCTTCCTCCGAACTTGAGGAGGGATAACTACAAACTCGTGACTCCTGTCCTTTTCCCCGTGGTGCTAAAGACGACCAAAAGTTACAACTTGGCTGTTCCTTTCGCGCGGATCGCCGAGCCTTTTGGGTCAGCTTGGGGCCTCAGGTCCCGAGGAGATGCCCCTGATGGTGCTGGCCAACCACATGGCCACCTGCGCCTTCCGCGTCGCCCGGGGCCCCATTGGCCACGAAGAGCGCTCTTCACTTTCAAGGAAAGGGCTAGGACCTGGAAAGGTCGCTCCAGTTCTATCTCAAACAGGGTCGCAGAAGCCGCTGGCAGACCCAAATGTCAGACTCAGGCGCCGTGTCGATACCAAAGCAGAGGCTGCCGAGCTCAAGTCTGCTTCAAGGAGCCATGGGCAGAGATGTCTGGTATCTGGGCAGAGGGCTGACTCCACGATGCACGGGAGGTTCTTGAAAGCGACCATGTGTTGATCCTGCTTGGTTCCGTCTCTTCGGGATGTTGGGTGAACTCCCTTCTTCAGTTTCCCCCACGGATCCGCATGGAGAGAGGGCAGCTCCAGGACCGCAAGGAACACCTGGAAAGCTGCCGCTTTCGGGAGGCGGGTGCCCTGGTTGCGGAGTAGGGGTTTGTGTGGCATGGTTGCCGGGTCTGTTTGGCATTGATTAGTCACAACCAATCAACTCCAGGCATTGGTCAAGAGAGTGAGTTGAGTGAGTGAAGAAGTGAAGGGAGTGGAGTGGGAGGGAGTGGAGTGAGGGAGTGGAGTGAGTGAGTGGACTAGGCTACTAGGGAGTTTGAGTGTTTTGGTTACGCAGTGCTTTGTCCCTTTCAATGCCAACTTAGTGCCTATATCAACGTGGTTGCTGCATGTTGCATCTGGTTTTGGCCTCCCACCGTCCCAGAGATGGCATCGTGAGGGACAAGTCATCTTGAGAAATCCTCCACTTCAGACCCACAGCCTCAACTATTATATAAGTTCATAAGTTCATTGGGTCTATTATTTATTGAAATCAAACATTTGGATTATATATATATATATACACAGATATTAGTATATACATATATATAGAGTCCTATTATATAGTTACTTACGCTAGGTCCGATGAACATACTTTATTAGGATCGTCATGTTGAGTCACTTTGAGAAAACCAACGCCAGCCTTTTGTCCTTTCATCGCCCATCGATGGGAACTGGTTGGTCCAGTAGACATTGCTAATTGAAAACTCGGCTCAAGCTCCTCTCAGTGGGAGGGCGCATGTTGGAGAGGGTATATGGATGTAAAAAGCATTCTGGCCTTAAATGCCTTGGTCGCATGCAAGCCGCTGCCAGCCATTTGGCACTCCCTGCCTCAGGCTGTGATTGCGGAGCTCCCTAGTTCCACGCCACGAAGTGAGTCGAAGGACGGACTATGGGGGGCGATACAGGTGGAGGCACACTACTCTCTTCCCTCAGCCTGGTCCTATCCGTTTGCCGTGCACGTCCACCGGTCGGTCTTCGGGTGAGTCCGTCAATGCAGGAGGGCGCCGAGGGGCCGGGACGCTCAAGCAGGGTGGAGAGGGCTTCAGGATGCACCGAGCACTCACAGGAATCAGTCGCCCGGGTGAGCCTTCCATTTTTCCAAGAGATAGTTTACCTCCTCCCCGTAAGCCCTCAAATAGGAGGCTGGCCGCCAAGACTCTTCTCCTTTGGATCGGGCACAAGGTTACCAAAGTCATCTCTTTCGGCCCACCAACCTTCCGAACGGAGAATCACGTTCCAAAGGCAGAATCAGGACCCAACGGCAAGCAGAAGCATCACATGATTTGGGGTCTGAACTTCCTCCAACGGGGACAGCAGCCGCCAGGCTCTTCCGCCAGTGCCTGGGACGTGTCGTTGGATCATGTTGGATTTTACGACCCTTTTGACATGCGTCCCATGTATATAATGTAGACTCTTGATCAGCCAAAGCCACCTTTGTGAATCACAATTTGTGAAGAGGTTCTACAATCCAACTGTTTTTCATCTTTTTTTTTTAATTTTTCCCGAATGCGTAGCGAAGGGTTCCCGTTTATAGTTGGGGGTCTGGGGGTTGGAGCTGTGTTCGCGTGGCGTGCGTCGTGTCGTCGTCTGTCGTCGTCTCTCGTCGTTTGTCGTCGTCTCTCGTCGTTTGTCGTCGTCTCTCGTCGTCGTCGCGTCTCAAATTTGCTGCCATTGGGGGAAGCTTTTGCAAGTGACTTTTCATGGATGTGTCGCGTGTCAGTTTGCGCCGCTATTCCATTGTGATTTGCATGACGCCGACATGTCGCGCAAGAAACGTGATGCATTTCGCTGCACAGGCGCAGCGTTTTGTGAGATCCGCAGTTTGCTGCGCAGTGCCATTGGGATTAGCGTTTGGAGAGTCGTGTTTTTGGGGTGTTGGATGTGGCCGTGCCATTGGGATTTGCGTTTCAGGGTGTGGCATCGAAGCCCGGTTTTCGTGACAAGTCTCAGCTGAAATGGCGATTTTGGTGGATGGGAGTGTGCTCTGAACGGGTCGAAATCATTCCAAACGTGTGGTGTGGTGCAATTTGTTGAAGCTCGCATGCGATGATATTGTCACTTTTCGTGGCAGGCGCAGGACTTCGTGCGGGTTTTGAGGCGTGGAAGTGCGATTCTCGTGGCAGGCGCAGGGAATCGTGCGGTTGCGAGGTGTGAGGGAGGTGACATTTCGTGGCAGGCGCAGTACTTTGTGCGCGTTAGACGTGTGGATGGGGAAAGATTCGTGGCAGGCGCAGGGAATCGTGAGGTTGTGAGTTGTGGTAGAGGTGAATGTCGCTGTCACATTGGGATTGGCGCGTGAGCGGATGTTGTTTGGAGGGGCTGGAATCGCGAAACTGCTTGGCAGGGCTGTCGAGTGTGCGAAATGCAGGCGAGAGTGCGATTTGACCCATGCGCGCGCAACCTGCGGAGATCGTGCGTGTCGAGTGCGCGAAATGCAGGCGAGAGTGC